CCAACCAATCAGGACCTATGAAGATTTCCCACCCTCCCATCAAACCCCAGACACCAATTTTAATAGTTAAGAACCCTTTCAATTATAAAATTAGAGTGGTAACTCACGCTCTACTATTATTGACTAACTTCTTATATCCTCAAGGAAAGTATTTTTCTTGTTGTTACCCTGCTTAGCCATTGACCCAAAGAGAGCAGCAATTAGTTTGTAAATACAAGGGGCAGTCATACAAGATGCTGAAAAAAATGTGTTTTCTGCTGACAAGTTATGAAATACATAACTCCCCTGACACTCACGGTCTTTGGTTCTGAACAACTAGATTGGTTTCACTGCCATCAATATTTGATGATAGAAATAGAGCAGAAGCAATAAAATGATACAAACCAAATATCTCAGACCCTCCCAAAAAGATTTTCAACCTTGTTATACACTTCCTGGTCAAACATCATTTGAATTGCACTGCTGTAACACTTCAATCCTTATCTAAGTGTGCACTTTCACATTAACGAAATGTGTTCTATAATTAATATTCTGAACACTCACATGGGCACAGCGAGCCTCAGTTAATGTACAGAGTAAACAACTCATGAATAACTATTAAGAATTAATTTATGGGGCCAGCCCTGTGGCCGAGTGGTTAAGTTTGTGCACTCCACTTCGGTGGCCTGGGGTTTCACTAGTTCGGATCCTGGGCGCGGACCTAGCACCACTCATCAGGCCATGCTGAGGTGGCATCCTACATAGCAGAGCCAGAAGGACCTACAACTAGAAGATACAATTATGCACTGGGGGGCTTTGGGGAGAAGAGGAAAAAGAAAGAATTAATCTATGATTTCTTTAGTCAAGGCAAAAAATGGCATGCCCTTTATTCCTACAACAAGAAGGCGGCTGATTATATTGATGATAAAACTTAATATAATATAAATTGGCAATGGCCTAGGTCTTCCACCATTGGAAACATTCAGAAATCAACCTAAAATTTTGGAAGAAATCTAGTCATTTTCTTCCCAAAATTCTTTTTATACATTTCTGGCATTTTCAATCTGCTCACAATATGCAACCAGTGCCCAAAATATTGCTTTGTACAATCAATATATATCTCGAGTAAATGTTACTCATGATACACTGCCTCCTCTCCCCAAATTAACATACTATAATTTCATAAAACTCCCCAAACAAGATGGGCGAATGCACCAATACTATAAAATTACTCCAAACTGGAGATCATATTTCATATGCAGTTTTTAAAAAAACACACAAACAGTATATCATCTTCTTGGGTGCCACTGGCTAAAAATACTATAGACTGTTCTTTATTGGTTTTAAATTTCATATGCAATATATGTAAGTTAGAGGCCATATGGTTAATTTCACAAATGAAATATAGTGGGTAATTATTTCCTATATTATCCATTCTGAATAACATCTAATCTAGCTGCTCAAGAAAGATTCCTGATTAGATAAGGAGGAAATGTTTTATGTCATTAGCTATACAGTTTCGTCTTGTTTAGGAACTGCACTGTAATGAGTACCAGATGAGTTTAAAGTACAGTAGGTTTCAAAACAGCCTCCAAATCACCTCTATGTAGCCTTTTCATAAGGAACAGTGAACCCTCTTACATGATAAAGGCCCCAAGATACTAATCCACTCCAAGATAGTACAGAGACAATCACCAAGTTTCTTAAAGTACATTTTTCCTATTTTCACCCATACATTCTATGAGCTGCCTAATTAAATTCAAGGTTTTCCTCTTTCCTTCTAAACCAGTCACAGTGGAAACAAACAGGGTTAACCTAGCTTGGATTACTGGTATATAACCAAGACTTTACCTGTGTCTTAATTAAATATTAAGTCACTGGAATTGTGGGGAAAATAAAAACAGCAATGACATTTTCTGTTCTCCTTTCTAGCCTCTCCAACCACAGTGTAAGTTTCTTCCAGTCAGCTTTCCCCGAATACTGATCCACACAGGATCAGACGCTACCAGTGAACCATACTGAAAAGGGGACGACAACAGTTTTAACTTTTGAGACATACTGAAAAACTGTGACAATGGAAGAAGCTAGTGAGCCGAAATTAACCAAGTTCTAATAATATAGCTGTGTCTATTTGAAATGTCCGACTTGTATTTACATAGAAACACTCCCTAAACAGGGTGTGACTGAAATATCTCAGCACCTAGCTCCAGTTCAAATAAGGAAAGTGTCACGGGGCTGAACTTCTCTGAAATCAAAACGTAAATGATGCAGTGGAGCAAGAAGCTTGATTATTGCATCAAATTTACATAATTTGCAACCGTTGATTAGGTGGTTTTTCTCATAGAAAGTTAAAAAGCCATCCCTCAGGTTCAACTTCCCCTGCTCCTCCCTCAAGTACAGACTCCATTTCCCAATTTTGTTCCAGAAACCAGACAGATAGTCCATCTGACTCACAACATAATGGTCACCGCAGAACTATGGAGGAAAAAGGTTCCACACAAGACAATGACTGTCAGACCCATCCTTATGTTTAAGGCAGCAGCCCCTCGTGGTCCCAAGTTTCCAAACAGAATCAAACATCTGTGTTTGAGTTGCACGAATCTCTTCAATGATTTATAACATAACATATATATATATATCCCTACTCCTCCAAGAAAGTGAATAAGCCAGAAATCCAGTCATCCTTTCTCTGAAATTACCAAAGGTCTGCTTTCTTTTTGCCCGTTAGCTCAGAAAACTGATTGGAACTGAACTTCTAGGCTGCTTCCTTATGCCCTTTTAATAAAGGCAACCACAGCAAAGAAAACAGAAATTAGTGTCAAGTACAGAGCTTTTTGCCACTGGGATTCACAGCAGCCTTTGGACAAGCCATTATGGTTGTCTGGCTCCAGCTCTCTTCTCAATAACCACTACCCCCTTTCTTGCCTACCCCACACCACCCTCCAAGATCAAAGGCAGCACTTACTGTTTATAACATCCTGAGCAATCCAGGAATCCCAAGAGGTTTTTGTTACCTTTCCCATCCCTTACTGTCTCTGCTCCAAAAAATATTTCCTAATGAGGGAGGCCAGCCCTGCCCTAGTCACTGGCCCAAATGACGCTCCTCTGAGATGCCTTATGCTTAACAGGGGGCTGTGGGGGTGTCTCTGGTCAATGTTAGGACAAGTTCTTCAAGAGCATGTGGTTCCCGGCCTCTACTTCCCAGCAAAGCAAGTTTCTCTCATTGTAGACAGGTGGCAACAACAAAAAAAAAAAACACCAAGAAATCCCCAAAAGTTCTCGCTGGATAAATAAAATGTCCCAAGTATCCTACAACAACAAAATCCTTTGTGTGTGTTTCTGTAGACATTGAGATGCACCTTCGAGAGGAGGGCGAAACTGCAGGGAGCACAACCCAACCCGAGCAGCAGGGCCAGAACACTCCTTTCTCCCTTTCCTCCTCCATTCACCTTTGAAACCCCAAATGCTGGCTCTCTAGCCCTGACACCAGTCAGACCCTGGACTTCAGCTTTTTCTTTGCAGTTTAAATACAATCGCAGAGCAAGATGTGTTTGTGTACTCATTCTCATCCTCACAGCTGTCCTGTTCGCTTTTCAGGGTGTGCTCCATGCCCAGGGACATCAGCAAACTTCCCAGCGCCAGAGAAACAGACTTGCCTCGGCCTCCCTGTGCATTCTCACCTCACCTGCTGAAACTGGTTGGCGAGGCCCAGCCAGCAGCAAACATGGCAGAAGGGAAGCCTAACTACACATGTTTTGTGGGAGGAGCAGTGGTATTGAAAAAAACCCGACAGGGGGGGATCATCACCTCCCACTCCTGCCCTCAGTTAGCTCTGTACATCCTAGCTTTGTGTGGTGCCTTGAAGGTATAAAATGGCCTCCAAGGGCACATCCGCCATGGGGGTGAAAGGGAGGTGAGGGGGGAATGGGAGGGCCTACAACAAAAACCCAGACACAGCCATGGCATTTCCTCACATTAGAAACTCAGTAAGAGACACTAATTCAAACTGAAATGCAAAAAACGCACTCCATCTAAGGCAACACCTCAGACATTCACAGGGCAGTTCTGGTTGGAACTCTTGAGTCCACTGGTTACATGATAAGCGATCAGGTAGAGAGCTTTGAGAAAACTCACTTTTACTGATTTCGGAAGCAGGGCAAAACCTAAGTTCAAGAGGTAAAACTCCAGGTTTACTAAGTCAAAGGTAAAACTTTCCTAGGGAGTTTTGGGGGAAATTACTTAGCACAACGTTTCCTGAACATCTCAGATTTCAAACAAAGTGTATCTTTACCTGCAAATCCACGCATCACCTTTAAATGACTGCCAGAGTTACACCAAACCCTGACTACCTCAGAAGCCAAATTATTATCTAGGAGACTTGCATTTCCAAGTAAGAGAAAAAAACTGACATGTTAACATTCTCTCTACATTTTACAGACAGAGTATTTCTGAACTGGTTCTTTCCCCTTTCTCAAGGGGGTTTCACGGGGGGGTGGGGGGGGGGCAGGAAGAAATTATTTCTGACTAAAAAAGTCTATTGCTAAACTGATCAAATCAAGTTAAATACTGCAACAAAGTACCATTTCTAATTATAAATAACTGCTGGGAGAAGGAAGTTTAAAATCACAACCGCTAATACTTAAGATGTCTACAAGGATTCATGCTAGACCAGACACTCACTCAAACCCCACAGCAATCCTAAGCCAAGGGTGCCACTAACTATACTCTCTCTATATGAGGAAACTGAGGCACAGACAGGCTAAATGACTTGCCCAAGGTCATTCCACTAAAGGCAGAGTTGAGATTCAAACCCAAGGTATCTGGCTCCAGCAATCCTTTTAACCAAATCATACTGCTCCAAGGGTCTGTTAAAAACTAACCAAGAGGGGTTGGCCCAGTGGCAAAGTGCTTAAGTTCACACGCTCCACTTCAGTGGCCCAAAGTTTGCCGGTTTAGACCCCGGGTGCAGACCCACACACCACTCAGCAAGCCATGCTGTGGTGGCATCCCACAGACAAACTAGAGGAAAACAGGCACAGATGTTAGCTCAGGGCTAATCTTCCTCATCAAAACAACAACAACAACAACAAACACTGAACAAGAGCTGAGCTCTTAAAACAGATTACGACAATCCAAAAGCAGTACCTAGCTAGCTAGATAGAAGGATAATCTTTGCAGTGAGAGGAATTCTTCATTTCCTTCAGCCTCTGACTACGAGACATTGATTTCAAGTGCTTAATTTAATAGCAATTACAATATTGTGGCCTATGGGTTCACCCCAGAATCACTTAAGGTGCTGGTCTAGAGAGAGAGGCTCCACACACAGCTCACTCTCACCGGTTTCTCCCTCCTTCTCTGTCAACTGGCCCATGAGCGCAGCAAATACTAAAATATGTGGTGCTTCCCTGTTAGCACTATAGCCATCTCCTATCACTTGAGAAAGGGAAATAAAAGTGGTTCTCCATTTTTTCTGTGATACCACTACTGTTACTGGCAAGAACGGTCCAAAACATCTTCACCTTTAAGCAGTACAAAGCATAAGGAATTCCACTGTCCTTAGCAACAAACCTTAAAATTATTCAAGAAGCAATCTTTTTATAAGATATTCCTAACTGGTAACCTCTGCTGAATAGCAACACAACCTGTATTTCCTATCTTTTCAAGCAAGCAGCTCTCCTTTTAGAATCAAAACGTGCACAGGCCCCGGCCTCAGTTGTACTTTCGATATTAGTTGAGAAAATACTTAACAAGATGACACTTATGGAATGGAACCAAAAGAAAGAAAGCAGTCATGTAATTTATCTACGTTCTAATCCTAGCTCCAGTTTACGTCCTCAGTCACTAGGGAATCAATATGAAGATAGAAAGAGTAATTTAAAATTTATCACTTTCTTCTTCCATAGATTTGGGAACCATAAAAAAAATTTTATTTCAAAAGTCAGTAATAGCAGGTACTGACTATATCGACAGCACACTGTGTCCAGCTGGCACACACCACATGACTCACTTCATCAAAGAACTTTCCCAATTGTTGTTACAGTATCAGACTGAAAATTCAAACTGAATTAGACATGAAGAAAGAACTGGGCACAAACTCCACTTAATCTTCAAGTAACTCAGGACTACCACAACTAACGGGGACCTGCAGCCCAGAAGTGACCTGCAGCAGCTGAAGATACTTCACTCCTTTGGCCATATTCCATCCCAATTACTAAGGTATTCTAGTTGCACTATAGACACACCACAGCTCCTAAATACACAAGTGGTATGCGAAGATTCTGCTCTTCACTCTAGGGTTTATTGACTCTGCTATGCTCCCCATGCTAAAGATCAAAGCTATGTTTGAAACTAATTCTTCAAGATGAGGCAACAAGTCACACAGTCATTCTCATTACTCTGGGAAGCCTGCTGATACGGGTGGGGAAAAAGTAGGCATAAGCTTTGCTAAGCCGCCATAATGGAGTCAATCAACCCCAATTCCAAGGGACCAACACCGTTTCTGACCCTCTGTTGTCCTATAGAATGTCCACTAGCCAGCGTCCTAAAAAAGTGCTGTTTGTAATCAAAATGTGTAAACTCTGCTTTCTGACACAATCGACATACTTTAATACAACAATAATTTTTGGACTAGCATACTACTCTTCGGTTTCCTGTGAAAGGCTTTTACCAAGGCAGCCAGGACCGAACCAACTACACCAGATATGGACATTTTTTGCTTTACCAATGTGCTCTAGACACCAAGAATGATAAAAGTAATTAATAATAACTCACAATTTATTATTGCCAATTCATTTCATAGTCCCCCACGATCTACTTCTGACATCCGTGTTGTATAGATTCCCTTTGCCATTTTGCGAATTAAAACTTCCTCTTTCCTGCTACTCCAAGAGACCTCAACTGTATTCCCAGGGCTCTGTCAGCCGCAACACACAAGTACGGAACTATATGAGTTCTCTCTGAGGCATGGTTTTACTTAGCTCCCAATATTGAGAAAGCTAACACCAGAAGTCATAATGTGAACTAGAGCAAATTTCAAAGTACTATTTACTCTGTCATTCATTCAGCAAATACTTACAAGCACGAAGCACCAGGCTTGCAGTAAATCTGTGAGCAAGGACAAAAAGATTCCTGCTCTCATGGAGTTTATATTCGGGTAGAAAAAACAAAAACAAGTGAATAACAAATTCTGAGGTAGCGATAAATGTTAGAAATAAAGGGTAATGGGACAGAATAACTAGCAGGGGAGCAACACGAGTGGGGGAAGATGACATGGGCCATCCCAGGAGCCAGAGAATTCCAGTCCAACTTTGCCATTCAACACAGGGTTACGTTAAGCCTCACAGGTGTCCTTGCCTGTGAGCAATATCACCTGAAGAAGTACTATCCAGAATTAGTTGCTGACCTGGACCCAAATGCAGTATTTTCTCCCCAAACAAGACAATGAAGAGAAAAAAACAAAGTGGGGCGGGGGGGGGCCTCCATGAGAGCTTCAGGGCATCCAGGGGCCAGCAGAACATTTACAGCTATTTGGGGAGAGACAGGCAGAGGTAATTACCCACTCCCACCTACTAGGCCCAGAACAGGGCTCTGCTGCCCTAAGAGAAAAGGCTTATGACAAGTGGATTTAAGGTACTTCTTTGTCTGAAAAACCCCACGTGGGAAGGAAGTAAGTTTCTAATAATCAGTTCTTAAAATGCAGTTAGGTCAACCAGTTCCTATCTATCAGACAGGGAATGTTTCCACCAAGCCTAGTTGCAGACTTCCTGCTCTTCTCCAGATTTGCAAGTCAAAAACTAATACCACAGAGAAGAACACCCAAGTTCTGAGAGTTCGTGCAAATTCAACAGTGGTAGGACTCAACACTGCACTCGCACACCCACCATTCTGCTGAAGCACCAATGACCTGCATGCTTCGGCCAGCAACGTGTATCATTTCAGTCTTGACAGCAGATTTCTCAGAAAAGCTGGCTCTCTTCAAAATGTGACGCCACCGATGAAGAGGTACAAGGCGAGATCTGTGAGAACTGTGTCCCAGTTCCTAGTGTTTGCACAGCGCCTCCTGGGCAGGAGCTGGCACACTTAGTGATGCCAAACCCAGGCCACCCCCACTGCCGCAGACAAGACACTTGCTCAACACACCACTTTCTTCACACAAGAGGAAAATGACAAGTTACCGTGTCCATCAACCAGGCACAGAGATCCAACGGCATGGGACTTGCTCATCAATTCAAACTACATGAGCAGAAATTATTAGCCATTTTCCTGTTTACTTAAGGCTCCGTGTTTAGTGTCAGTGCGCTTCTCCCTGCCTACAAGACGCAAAAAAGTAGGAGACAACTGCCCAGTGATAAACTCTGATGTTCAGCACTGAATTCTTTTCCAAAACAACTGTTTCAAAACAATCAATAAAATAAAAAAAAACTCACGTACTTTGTAGAAATGGAGGCTGCAGCCTGACTTAAGGGAAAAACAAGAAACAGAGTGAGAACTCCAGCGTTTAGTCCCAGTTCTGATACTACAGAACGAGACTCGGGTCTGCTGATGGTTGCTTGGTTTTTTCCCCTCATCTGGAAGGGGGAGGGTGCAATCTACCTGGATCATCTCTCCAGTTACTTGGCTTTTTCAGTCTACATCAAAGATAAAGGTTGCTATAATGCCCAGTCGAGAAACAGACCCTACACAGAATAATGGAAGAACAAGGGGAGGAAAGGAGAAGAGAAAAACAGAAAGAGAAAGAGAGAGGGAGAGAAAGAAAAAAGACTATTCAGCCATAAAAGGAAGGCTCAAATGACTGGTACATGCAGCACAGGCGAATCTCAAAAACACAGTAAAGCAACCTAGACACGAGAGTGCTTCCATTTGTATGAAGTTTTACAATAGTGCTAGAAATCAGGTCAGTGTTGGCCTGCAACTGTGGGACAGGTGGGGAGGACTGACTGCAAAGGGTCATAAGGGAACTTCCTGAGGGGATGGAAGTGTTGTATATCTTGATGGGGTGGTAATACCCAAGTGTATGCAGTTATCAAAACTTATCAAACTGTACACCAGAAATGGTTGCACTTGTAAACTGTACTTCAATATATTTGATTTTTTTAAAAATCTGAACTGATTTACAGTTGTTTCAAGAGGGGGGAGGGTATGAAGATAGAATGAGTTGTGAGAACTTACTAGGTTAAACCGATTGTTCTGGAAAGTGGCCACCCACATTAAATAAAAATCAATGCCAAAAGCCACACCTTTGGTGACACAGTTCAGGGACCTGGTCCAAATGTGGAAAATTCCCAAGTTTCATGCTGTTAAAAGTGACTTATTAAAGAAGTATTTACAATACAAACTCCCTTTCAGGGCTTGAGACACTTAAAGGAATAGCAGATTTTCATCATAAAAAAGACAAAAAAGTAAAAGACAAAGAAAGCTAAGAAGTCACTTTTTTGCGAGTTGCATCAGCTCACCATTTGTGGTTTGTGTTAAGGGACTTGCTTCGGGGGTTGTGCAGAAAAGCAAATCCCAATATTGACCTATGGACAGAAAAGGCTTGCTCACAGCTTTTCATGCTTTTTCAAACCCTGAAATTTACTCTGAGGGAGGCTCACCACACTCCAGATTCGCACTAGGTGGTGGGAAGCAGGCAATCAGCACTCCCGGAGGAGTTACCAGATTCAGGGTGGGGCAGCATGAATCCCCTGCCCCAGTCTATCCTCCACATGGAATGGTCTCTGAGCCGAGCAGCTTGTTGTTACAGAAATATTACAGAAAACTATACCAGGGCAACACAAAAAAGTACTGTGGTAAAGAACCGTAGCACCAGTGAAACTGAAATCTTGGCATCCCAAAGGAGCTGAGTCCTCGCAGTCACGTCAAGAACTCTGTGAGGGTTCCCACAAGGGAACTGTGGACAGACAGCCCCAGGGAGACACAGAAAATCAGAACATTCCCAGAGCTGGAATCAGCAGCCCACAAACCAAAGTCAGCTCAGTTCCTGGTACTAAATGATTTACAAGTCATCCTGGCAGGGGTCACATCCAAGATCTATTTTAAGACAATAATCTTGGTCTAAATCTCAACTCCCAGAACTGGGCCACCTCCAAGCCAAAGGGTATTTTCAAGGTTGAAATCCCATCTCCTAAAGGGTATCAGTCAGAAGACCTAGGCCCATACCCTTTTGGCACCTTAGCTTCTGCACATAGGTGAGGGCATCTTCTTCTCTCCAGAACCACTCTGAAATGCAGAGGGAGATGAATGGGGCAGAGAAGGGTGACCGGTGGGGATGGGGGGGTGGGGGGGGGGGCAGGGTGTGTGCACTCAAAGAAAAGAGAGTCAGCAGTCGCAGCATAGCTTGTGCCATCTTGAGAATCCCTACACCAGAATTCAGGGCCACCTTTGTCTGACTTACCCGGGTGGTATTCTGTTGTGTAAACCACTGGTTCCATTTTGGTTGAGGTAATGTGGAAGGGGGCGACTTATTAATGCTATCTACAAATAGTAAGTTCAACAGACAGTGTTCTCCACTGTGATTTGTCATTGGAAGAATACTGATTTTCTTAATTTTATTCTGCAAAGTAGCCACGGCAGGAAGCATCCCTTTCACACCATTCTGCAGGATTATGATAAAAACTAATATTCAGGTATTTTTATAAATCACACACTTGTTTTGCTTCAACCAGTAGTAGGAGGCAAAGGCATTTAAGCAGCACTTCTACAAACTAAATTAGCTATCTAGTGTTCCTCTATTTCAACAGAGACACCAGCCCAGGAAGTCGGTCCGGGAAAACCTCCCTTGCCTCACTATGAGTCCACCGTCCACAGCTGGCTTAGCTGCCTCTCCTTAAGGAGATATGCTACACGGTCTTCCCACTGCTTCCCTGACTCTTCGGAAGAGAAAGAATTCTAGATATCATTGTTTCAAATTATGCTGTAATAAATGTTTCTTGGAGAAAATACAAATAAGCCTTATCTCCTGAGCATCCCTCCCTCTTTCCAAACTCCTGCATGCTACTCCTTGACTCTGGAACGCACTGCTCTCCACACTCGTCTTCACCTGGCTAACTCCTGCCCTCCAAGTCTCTACACTGTGAGGTCCAGAAAGTCTTCTTTCATCCCTCCGTACGTATTGGTTTTCGTTCCAAAGGAAGCCCGCCACACCTGGACCCCTCATCTATGAAAGCACTTATCTCTCCCTCTACAACGACGGAACGGCCGCGCACCACCACTGAGCGCCTGGCATTCAGCACGTGCCCAGCATACGGCAGGAGATCAGTAAGTATTCCTCAGATAACCAAACAAACATAAAACAATTTACTCTGACCATTCAGAGATAAAACAGTGTTGATTTTGATATGTTTCCTTTTATGGTACTTTTCCTGAACAAATATACAATTTATTTAAATTTTACCCAAAAAAAATAAAAAATAGTAAGATTAAACTGCACATACTCTCACTTGCTTTTTTCACTTACTACATTATGTTATTAAATATCCTTGTACCATATCATTTTAATGACTGCATGGAACAGATGTTCCCTAATTTAACCAATCCCCTATTGGTTACAATTTTTCCCTGTTCTCACACAGAAAAATACACTTGATACACATCCCTGTGGCCAAATCTAAATAAATTCCTAGAAGCAGAGAGGTCGAGTCAAACGGTAGGCAAAATATGTTAGTTACAGTATATACCAAAAGCTTAAAACGGGTTATCATTTTGTAAGGATACTGGCAGGATCTCCACACCCAGAATAATGAGGCACCTGAAATCTTCATTTAAAAAATGGCTGAGGGAACACAGGGCTCTTCAGACCAGATGAACAGCCTGTTGGATGGAAGATAATGTTTAGTTACTTCTGAGGACAAAACTGGAACCAGCTGACAAGAGACGGAAAGAAGAACTCTGTTAAAGTCAAGAAGAGAACGGAATTTTCCCGAAGAGCTATCCCACATGAACGTTGCAGTTGCGTCCAGTACGTGGGCTGGGGCAGGCAGGAATACTGACAGGGGAAAGATATTGGGCCAGCGTCACAGGAAGGTCAGTCAGTCAACCAAAAAGGTCACTTGTGTTCAACTACTACGATTTCAACCCTCCAGAGGGCTCCCCACTGCATTCTTCAAATGAAACTGGAGAAAAGCTATGACGAAACTTTCCTACCTTAGCCTAAATACCATCAGAGCACAGGGCATATTTAACGCACACAAACTGCTTATGAGAGAACCAATTTCACCAATAAGCAAAAGGTCATGGCGGCCCAAACAGTGGATTCAGCCACTGACTACAGCACAGTAACACATTTTACTGTGTAGGACTCCCATGTTTTCAAAATGAGAAGGGTCTGACTTAGCCTCATTGCAATATATGTAATAAGACTAAATGACGCTAATGATAACATCTGTTGTAATAGCCTAATCTCCCTGATTTTTAAAGAAGGAAGGTACTCAACAGATCAACTGTCACTATTTAAGGGGGTTATGGGGGATCGGGTTCTCTCTTCCTCAATTTTTACCGCACAAATGAAGTATGTTTCTAAAAGATACTTGAAAGTAAAGGAAGGAGGAAAACAACATTGTATTTCCACTTCTATGAAAGTCTAGTTTCTTTAGAAAAGCAGGGGGATTAACGAAATGACAAACAGTGGCAACATCAAGTGCCCAGTGGCTACAGACAAGGCTCGGGAATCAGACGGCCTGTGATTTGGCCCCTCTGGCTTCTAGTCTGCATATCTGACACAGGCTAATAGTACCACGCTGACACGGATGGAAGAAGGATTCAAAGAATTAACATACGTAAAACTTTCAGACTAGTGCCTGGCACACAGAATTGCCACATAACTATCAGACACTTATTTTCACCATGAGAGTCATTTCGACGTGTACTTAAGGAGGGATAAAGACCAGGACAACAGTGCAGGACTTTAAGTAATTGAGAAGAGCTGATGAAGAAGTTAATTTAAAAATACAAGCAGAGTCGACTTCAAATAGCCCACCTTCTACAAGTTCATTTAACCACCAGCCATTGAAAAGTGAGAATCCATTTCATCGCAGAATGGACGTTTCAAATGGTGGTTGGGTGCCCAAACCAACACAAAGGAGTTAAAACGCACTAGGATAATAACGAACAAAGAGGGAGAAAAATCAAGGAAGATGACTAGAAGCTGTTAAGGGACATTATGGGGGTGGGGGAGAGCAGAATTCTCTGTGCTGATCCAGGAGACTGGAAAAATCCAAAGAAAAAGCACTGTCACCACCATGCTGTGGCATGAATATTAGAATAGAAACTCAGGTTTCAATGAGAAAAACCAAGTTTAGGAAGTGTTGTTTTAGCTGTCACTTGACTGGCTCCAGAGAAAATGAGTTTTAAGCTACACTGGCTGGGAGTCTGGATTTCTTGGACCTGATGAATTAAACACTATAATGAATTCTACAAATTAACTGAAACCAGGCTCTGCCATCATAGTAAATTTGGACAATGAATGTATTTCTCATGGCTAATAGTAATAAGCCTAAAATTAATCAAACAATTAAAGGGAAAAACAAGCTAACATACAGAAATATGCAAAATGTCCCCCCATAAACAAGTATTCTTGATTTACGATTTATGGAAGTACATCATCAGAAAAGGAAAAATATCCAGAGCAAATTCCCAAGCCTCAAATACTGTATAATGAAATTCCAAAATGGAAGGCCAAATTTGCTGGTGGAAGAGATACGTGCCATTTTTAGGAGCCACAACCTCTTGCCCAAGCAGAGCTCCAAGAAATTTTAAAGTCTGAACGTAAATGTAAATGTTAATTGCAATCTAGTAAAAACAGAACAACAACAAAAACGATATTTAAACTTCCAAGTATAAGGATGAGGTCAGGAGAGAAGCTGGCTGTCCATCTTCCCCACCTTCCGTTTGACCTCCCGTCCACTTGCCTCTCCTGCTTTGATTGCCACATTCCTTGTACACTGTTCTGCCTTGCTCTTGTGAAACGTCTTCTCAGGCCTGTTTAAAAGTCCAAACAATTCAAAACTAAACTATAGTGGTGAAGACAGCTGCTAGGGAGGAGCTGATTCTGCTTCTTGATGGAGGTCCTGGTGAAACAGGTGTGTTCATTATGATTTGTACACACTTCTACGTGTTACTTCAATAGAAAGTTTAAAGGTCTTTTAAAGTATCTGAGAATAAGTTTAAAGAAGACAGTATTCTTTTCTCTTTTCCTCAGAATTTGGACTAAACAGCATGACCCCTAAGGTAAACTACTACCAACCCACAACCACTATATCATTGCTAATGAGAAAGGAGGTGGCTGGGTGAGTGGAAAATCAGGACCAAGATTCTGTGGTTGTTGCTGCTGCTGGGGCTGACGTACTCAACTCCAAAGGACACTCGGGACACATCACACAACTCTGCCCCTCAAATATAATAACCTAACTGCGAAGCACTGAAAGCATCTGCCGTCTGTGATCCCAAAGTATGAAAATTGTATTTACTTGCCAGCAGAAACCCAGGAACAGTGTAAGCCTTGATTGAGAAACTGCTGGTGCAGCTTCAAAGAACCTGACATTTAGAAAGGAGACAGATTTGGTCCCACGAGTAGGCCTCTAGAAATGTAAACTGAATTCTTCGTTGCATTTTAAAAATTGTAGCCAAAACCACAACAGTGAATGCTAGTAAATTCCTTCCTTAAAAAAGTTCAGAATAATGTATGTATATGTATGTGTATGTATAGAACAAATACCCTAAAGACCTGAGATACCTTGTAAACATTCATACACTGTCCAAGTAATTCTTAAGACTTCATCTGAGCTGGTAAGTACATCTCTTACACACACAACAGTAGGTAGTGGAGGAGTACTCCAAAGAGACCAGAAAAAAACACCAAGGCCAAGAACCCTTAAGACCCCTTAAACTCTGTTTATGCTCAGTCAATATGGACATCTGCTTCTTTCTATTACCCAACTGCGAGGTCATAGTCTACAGGGAAATAAGCTGCTTTACTCACACATCAGAACTCCACTGTAGCATGAATCTAAACTCATCCACAGATGGAAGAAAAGAAGAAGGGAAACATCACCAGAGAATGAAATCAATTTTAACTCTAAGCTGAACTAGAGTTGTAGGAAAAGATGATGGTGAAGAACAACGGAATTTAGCACGGTGAAAACTGTAAATCAACGACCAAAGGCATCTAGCTCTTTGGGAGCAGCTACAAATAGTGGGGCCTTTACCCCTCCTAGTTGGAGTGATATAATTAGCCAGTGTCAGGACTCTCCAGCATCCCTTGTCCCAGCTCAGCCCCTGGGGCTGCTGCCTGCAGGGGAGAGCCCAGATTTGAACTGCTCTCAGAATAGGAAATCCCCTTGCATTACATCATATAAGGGGGGCGGAGTTCAAGACAACCAGCAAACAACAGCCAACTTTAAGTCTTCAGTGGACACTTTTAAAATCTTTCCTCACAGCTGCTATAACGATGCTAGCAATATGGCTAACATTTCAAAGACAGAAGGCCTTACAAAAAAGCCAGCGGCAACTTCCTCAGCACAGGCTCATTTTCCAGTTGGAAATTAAGAGGTAAGAAACCCTATCCAACAAAACCCCAGGGTTGTGCTTGCTCCCAGTGGGTGACACCTCCCACCAAATGCCCAGAAGGGTAAACTTGATAGTGGTGACCCAAAAACAGCTTTCAGATGTTGCAGCACAACTGGTCATAAAAAGCCTTCAGCCGAGAGATGAGACCTAATACAAGGGATGAAACACATGGTGAAGGGTTTGTTAGGCCACTCTCTCCACCGCACCAGGCAGGGAGGATGCCCTCCACAAACCTGGAACTACTGGCTGCTCCCTTGCCAGCACGTACCCTGGACACATATATTGACTCTGAGGAAAAAACTGAGACTGCTCAGCTCCTGACCATAATCTAAAAAAATAGACACTAAATGAATTGGCCAGGGCTGCTGTGTGCTCCCTGGATGAGAGTGGGATTCAGGGCAGAAATCCAGAGTAGCCTGTGGGCCTACAAGGAAACGTTCAATAAATATTTGTCGATTGATTTTTTTAAGAGATGATTAAAGGGTTAGAGGGAAAAAGCCTCGGTACAAAGGTCAAAAGTACAGCATCAGTCATCTAGAAATGGGAATCCATGAAGGGCCATTTGATAGTGGTCTGGCTGTCCCCCACGAGCTGGCTTCTTCCCAGCGTCTGCAACATGATGGACTGGAACAGGCTGCCAGGGGCCTGGGAATTCTCCTGCTTTTGAGTCCCCTAAAACATGAATAAATTACCACCTCTCCAGGAGGTTACCAAAAGTGCAGGTTCATCTACCCAAACGATAGTGGGGAATCTAAACCACGTCCATTCTCTACCAACTCCACAAGGGAGGGAAAATGAATGGGGACAGAGAAGGGCGGGGACAAGTGAAGCTGGAAGCATGAGGGCAGAGATCCAGGGCAGGTGATGGCAGCTGGCTATCTGGGGGCATCACCACTACCACCTGCGTGGACTCCAGGAACCTTTACAAGCACCTGACACATTTATTACCTCCTTTAATTACCTCCACAGCAACCCAGTCAGGAAGACACTATCATCATCTCAGTTGAGGAAACTGAGGCACAGAGAACATAAGCCACTCGCCCAAAGTCTCACAGCTTAAACTAACGGTAGTTAGGATTTGAACGCAGTGCTCATAACTATAAATTATGCACTGAGTTTAGTCCTGGGTTCAAGATTACCCGCTACTAAATCTACAGCCAGGATTCACCCCAGATGAACATAAAGAAGGCATCTAACACAATACAAATAGAATAACCTGTGCACCGGAAATACCATTGTCCAAACAA